AAAGCGAGTTTTTTTGTTGTAAAAACCGAAAAGAAATTGCGGGTTGCCCCCCCTAAAAACCCCCCCCCCCCCCCCTTTTTTTTTTTTTTTTTTTTTTCCCCCCACGCTGCCCCATCTCCCCTGGTTTTCTTTTTGAAATGCCCCCCCTGCCCCTGTGCACCTCATGTTACTTTGCTCGTGTTTCTGCTGGGACTCTGACTGGAAACCCCCCGCCCCCGTGCTGCAAAGCCTCTCTCCTGTCGTACTCAATTCGAGTCGCTGATTTGATGCTGTAAACATTCCTTCGTTTGGATTCGTTTCCGTCTGTTGATGTTGTGTGTTCTTTTGCCAACCAAATGCATCTTTTTTTTTCTTTTCTTTTTTTTTCTTGTCTTAAAGTAGGTTTTTATGATTTTTTTATTTTTATTTTTTTGCATTCTGTGGCACTGTCTTGTGTGGGATGTTTGGGTTTTGTTCATTCACTCATCAAATGGTTAGAGTAGTATTTTCAAGCCAAACATGGGTGGGAAGACGGGGAGGGAGGGGATTACATATTGTTTGTGAAGCTTTGTTGAAGGGATTAGCGTCGCGCTGATCATAGTTGGTCCACAGCCTAAATCTCAGGTGTGGTTATCAGTCGCAGAATCGCTTCACCCCTTCATGTTTCTGTACATTTTGTTGGCAGCGCGGCTGTCCTTTTGATGAATTTATATATATATATATATATATATATATATATATATATATATATATTATATATGAAGCACTTGTTCTGTACTGCCTAAATCATTTTTTTTTTGTTTCTCTTTTGCTGCCTTTTATGTTTTCTAAGCTGTTTTCCGTGATGCAGTTTAACCTCTGTCATTCGGCTCTTTAGTCTTTTTTTGTCTCCCGTTTTCCATTTATAGTGACAAGACTTTTTTTATATATATTTTGTGTGACTTTAATTTTTTTTTCCTCATCAGTCCAGGGCGATGCCAAGCTGTTATATTTTGTTTATAAAAAAATTGGATGAACCGGCCTTTGTTAAAAAAAAAAAAAAAAGGAATAATAAAAAAAAATAAAATTTGTACTTTTTTATTACACTCTTGTTTCAGTTTTTTTTATATATATATATAAAACTGTCTGGCCACTAGGTGGTGACATTTTTTGCATTTTTAAAAGTTGCATTAAAGTTTTATTGTAGTTATTTGTTGGTAATTTAGCAAAATGTAAACCAGTGAATCAGACTGGGACTGACGTAAGAAAAATAATTTTCAAAAAATGACTTGATAGCATATGGTTTCTCTTGGGACCTTAATTTCTGCCATTTTTATGACTTCTCGTTGTCATTTAACTCTCCCGCAGTCCAGGAAGGATCGAGTGGACCCCGCGGAAGTTTTTGACCCCGCCAGCGGTTCTGGAGGGTCATTTCAAAGTTTGTTTTTTGTGGTTTTGGACGCTGACGGGACACCTCATCGCTTCTCCCGTCGACTGAGCGTGGCGTCCAAGCCGAGCGTCGAAGTGGGAGTTAAGTGATTCAATGTCATGAAAAATATTAGCCTCCTTATAGATTTATTTTTCTTTTGTCACACCTAAATGCTTCAGCTCACAAAAAAACATTTTAGCGTCGTAGCTACCTGAAAAATGACCAAATCCGGGTTCCTTCGTTTGGATTCGTTTCTAGCTAGCGACGTTTAAAACAAAATGTAACGAGCCAGACCATCTGGTTCGGTGAAAACATTGTTCCTCATTGGTAAATTATGAATTACACGCGATTTCGTTTGTAACGCAAAGCTGGGGCATATTTTATTGGCACCATGCATCCCTACTGCCAGGTCCAGTTTATTTAAATAGCAGATGTCATGATCAAAGCAACACAATGTGTTTTCCATCAAAAATAAAAATGCAGCTGCAAAGGAAAATTGTTCCCAACATCAAAAGGGTGATAAACTTTGGAAATGTACAATGGCAAAAAAAAAAAAAAAAAAAAAAAACACTCTGATATTCATCAAAAACAAGATGGTCTAAAATGAGATCTAGAAAGTGGAATTTGTGAAAAAGCTCAATATGTTTGTCACTTAAGAGTGAAATATACATGGAATTATATATTTGAAGCCTTTATTTCTTGGCTTACAGATAACCAGGATGCTCATAGAAAACTTAGTGGAACAAATATTTTGGTAGGAAATTCTGCACCAGCAACATGAATATCTCTGCTCCTGGGTGGATTATAAAGCAAAATCAATTCAAGAATTTGGGGAAGAAGCGTCACAAAGTCTGGACTGAGGGTGGGTTGAGTGCATTTGTTTGCAGACGCACTGGCTTATTGCTCTTATGTGATTTTCTAATTTTATGAGACATTAAATTTGAGTTCTTTTTCACCATCTTTACCCCATAACCATCCATCCATCGTGTACATCAGTACATCTACCTTGGCCGTTTTAGATTTGGGCCACAGACTCACTAAAGCGTTCGGCCCGCCTCTTCCTGCTCCGCTCCTATCAGCACTCCCCGGGCAGCTGTTCTGACACTCAATGCGACCCCACCTCCAACGGCGTGCCCTCTGACCTTCAGCCGCAGCGGTATATATTTCCGGGGGGGATGATCTGCAGTCCTCTGGCAGCCAAAATGAAGCTTCTGGCGACTGCGTGCCGCTTGCTGTGTCTCCTGGCTCTGTCGGCTGCAGGTACGGAGGCCGGATGAATGAAATAACCAGATTTAGACACAAATGATGAACGTTTAGTTGTCGTTTGTAACGCTCTTGAACAACAACAACAAAAAAGGGACTGATTCAAATGAAATGTCCACTTGATGTGTATACGCATGTCACCGTTTTTTGGTAAACTTCCTAACAGCTTTGGTAGAATTTGCTGCTTTAAATCTGAATCAACCAAATCATTTACACTGGACGCTCAGTGCGGACCTCCTGTGAATCTGTCGGTCTTCCTGCTTCTGGTTTGGACGAGCTTGAACTGAATGTGTTGTTTTAGATGTGGCTGGTGGTTTTGCTCCGTCTTGTGCTGTTTTGGGGTCTTTATCGACTCTCCCTTAATGTCGAAGCTTCTCGTCCGTCCTTGATGCCGATTCGTTTTGACCCCCGCTGACCAGGTGTCGGGATATTGTCAGACAAAGTCGTCATCAGATACGGTTGTTGGGCTGATGATGATCTCTTCCAACCTCTCGGGAATGCACAGACATCGCGTACCCAAATGCGAAGATTGCTCCTGTGACGTCTCCGTCAGAACAAGACAAACTTAAAGCCATTTACTTTGACTTAAATTCCACAGCTGCACTCTGAAAGAAATTAAAATTAAAATAAATAAATAAATAAAAGACAGAAGATTACCAGGACATTTTCCGCTAATTGTATGGATATTTCCGTTCCAACGCATGGAGTTTCGCCGTAATTTAACAGTTTCTCATGGTAAATTTACTCACTTTTCTGAAATGTTCTGGGGTTTGTTTGTTTGTTTGTTTTTTTACATTCACAAACATTTGTGTCGTTTAAAAGTGGAAATTTTCTGTGTTATTACAGCACATCACCTGGCATATTCACAAACATTTGTATTATTTAAAATATGACATTTTTCATATTTTTATATTACATCTCCTTGTATATTCCCAAAAACTTCAAGTCTGCTTTACATATGGAATATATTGTAGTCATCCTGTAAAATATACTGTATTATCACATACTTAATTTGTTAAATACACTTAATTTTGAGACAAACATTAAACTCTGGATGCAATCATTGCCGAGTCAAACACCTCAGCGGGGCTTCGCCTGCTGCTCCGCCTGCCGAGCCGCTAATCCGTCATGCACTCGCACACAATCAGACTCTGTTTCCCTGTGGCTGCTATGTTTAATTGCTGCCATATGCCGACATTATGACCTCTTGATGTATTTATTGTTCCTGGAGGAGACCCGGAGCCGAACGCGGCCGGAGCTCCTGCAGGAGCCGCAGCGCGGCCTCATGACAATCGCAGAGAGAGGGCGACGGGCGTCACGCTTCCTGAAAATAGAAGTGGAATTATCCCTCCTTCTTTTCGCCCTCTGACTCATTGTGGGACTATTTCTGGGCGTCCAGGGCACCTGTCCCGCTCCGTCCCCACAGGCCTGCGCTCTGCCCAGGCTCCAGCGTCAGGCTGCTGCCGGGGAGCATTTCTGGCCGCTGATCTGCACCACAGCGACACGTTGCCCGTTAACTGTTCTTGAAGTGAGGATGACCCGCAAGCAGAGGACTTGAAGGTTTAGCGTCTCGCGTTGCAGACTGAGAGTGTCGGACATCTTTTTGCAAATTGACTCCAGGTCCAGTCAGATCTGTTAACGTCATATTTCAACTCTTGCCACAAATCCATGCTTGGATTTAGGCCACTTTACCAGAATGTCGCCTTTTTTATATATATATATAAAAATATGTATTTTGACCAGATTTAGCTAAATATCTCAAGTCGATTAGTTGGTGCTGAAGATTCTCATTTAGATTTTGGAGGACAATCGAGTAAGGCCCATCCTGTCTGCTTTAACTTTGTACGTACCATAAAGTAATAATGAAAAGTTGACATTAATACTACAGAATAAACTATTCATCTTATTTTCTATCAGAGATTAAATTACGTTTATCAAGAATGGTAGCAAACAAATCTTTGGACTGAAAATGTTTCTAAACGTTCATAAACAATTTGTTTGTGGATTACTCAAGAAAGATGCAGTCTTTGTGTTTATGCTGTCATAAACAACGCTTCGTTATTTTATATTTACAAAAATGCAGAAAAAGTGTGATAAAGTCTTGTTATAAATGCTCCAAACGTTAAAGTAGTTACCAGGTATTCTCCAATTAGTCAATTATTTAAAATGGATCTGAATGTTTTAATTCAAACTGGGTAAAGTGTTTCGCAAAAGTATTCTCATACCTTGAACGTCTCCACATCGTGTCAAGTCACAACAGCAAACGCCTTTTTAAAGGTTTCCTTTGATAAACTAACACATGTGGATCTGTACTTTGACTTGGCCACTCTAAAACACAAGTATGGCTTGATTCACACTATTTTACTGCGTCTCAAAGATAAAACCTTTTGCAAATCTTGGGTTTTTGCGTCTTCTAACAGGTTTTCTTCCAGGATTGCCCTTCATTTAGATCTCTAACCACTCTCCATTTGCCAGCAATATCAGACAGATATAATAATCGCTGACAACGACGAGTTAGTCGACAATTGTAAAACCTTGTAGCTTTCTGTTCTTTGGCTCGTGTTGGAACGCAAGCGATGCCACTGCACCCGTCTGGACTGTATCCAAACCTCCCACATGACTCAGGCAGATCAGAGTCGAAGCTGTACAGACATGGATCAGATTACTCTTCTTCCTCTCTTGAGTCATTCAATTATAGACACCTGCGGTACACTTAAGTCTGCTCAAGATGGGTATTATAAGACCTTGGCATTGACTGCCGAGAGAGATTTCTACTCCATTACCGAGCCGCTCTTGATATTTTTACACAAATGTACTAGAATCTGTTTAAGTGGCTCCGATCAATCGTCCTTAAAGGTTTTCTGAAGGTCTATAATAAATCCAAAACAAATCATGTTTGAATGTCTAAAGAGGCTTAAAAAGTGAAAGATGAAGAGATATCTAAAGATGTCCACAGACGTCTAAATGTGGTATGAACGTAGTTGAGTTTGGTCAAATTACAACATCTGCAACGTTTGGCTAAAAAAAGTGTCCACTTTCAATTTTCTTCTCTGACAAACCTTTGAAAGCCATTAAAAAAGATGTCAAGAGTTTTCATTCTTTGAGTTCAAAAGGCTTTTTATGGCTGACTGATAAACAGAGGGATGCAGTTGCCAGCACTGGTCAGAGCAAAAAGGTCTTTGGTATGAATCTGAGCTTTGAATGTTTTCAGGAAAGTGAGTCCTCCAGAAGGTAACATGAAGAAATGAGGGATGGCTTAAGACTTTGATGTAATACTAAGGATTATTTCTAAAGGATAGATAGTGTATCTTGGTAAAACAAAATAATTCAATAGTAGCTTCACATTTTTCTGCACTGAATGTGTTAAACTTACAGATTGTTTGCAAAAACACTCACAATCGCGGCCATTCGAGGTTGGACCTTCCTTGTCTGTATGTAACAATTAAACATGGTGTAAAACTGGACTTTTCCTGTCTATAGGTTTCAACCAAATTTGGCCCAAACAAAGATGTTCAAAGCCAGACTTGGTTGGCCTCCTTGATCAATCCCAACCTTTGAGCCTCATCTGGACGTCAACAAATTTCTTTTGGCTTTGCACTTTTATCATGTTTCGTAGCCTGGAGGCAACATCTTCCTTTCTATCTGTTTCCTATGAGCTTGGGGGACTCCTCGAACTCTGAAAATTTACCTTTTTGTTTCTCACAGATATTTATTAAAATAACAATATGACACAATCTGGCCCCTTAACTGTATTTTGGACTCAATTTTATTTTCACTTTTGGCAAAGTCTGCATAACAACACCTCATGACATAACATTACCGCAGTATTGTGTTTTTTTTTCAGTTGTTGAAGCTGACTACCCCACAGGGAGGTGGTAAGCCAAAAACTTAGAGCCCCAAGAGGTGACAACAACATGATGGGAACACAGTGGACATTTCTTAAGTTAGTGTGGGGGACAGTGCTGGACGAAAGGAACATATTGTTCTAGTAATGACGTCTGACATCTAGATGAGCATTTTGCTCCTCTATAAAAGCTGAAATTATACAATTTCTTAATGGCATCAAATGAACCTGATTCTGTGGACTTTTAAAAGTTGGACGCTTAATAGAAAACAGTTTGCCAACAAGGCACTTGATGAAATCTGATATTTAAGTTTTAGTTTGTGGCACACAAAATGCTAGGGACTCGTTTATTTATCAGTACACAATTTCACACATCCCTTGTTGGCGATAAAAGATCAGACGGTTTGAATACTAATGGTTTGGTAAGCGTAGGCTTGGCTGGCAATCTCTTAGACTGAGTTGAGTCTTTAAGTACGAAAATCACAAACAGCAAGAAAATGAAGTTTAATCACCGGAGGTCTACCTGAGTCAAAAATGAAAAACAAATATTTTCAACAGGATCTTCTTAATTAGTGACAAAATGCTTAACAAAACATCTGATGTCTTTGACAGCTGCCAAAACCTTTTAATCCTCCTCCCTCGCAGTGAATCCATCTTGTAACATGAACTGCAGGCATTCCTTTAAGTGTCTCACATCACACTCTGTACCACAGGCAGTTAAATTTAAATGCAGGTCACAAACCTTTGCTCTTTGTCCATCGTGACAGTCAAGGATATCCAGCATGCCTCAATGAATTGGGATGCCAAAAAGAGTCCCCTGCTGTTAGGTATGATTTTATAGAAGTCATGGTAACTGTGTTTGATCTACAAAAGCGTGGTAACAAAGTTTAAGTGTAAGAGCAGCACTAAGTGCAGAGAAAGTGATAGTTTAAAGAAAAACATTTTAGTGTAAAGGCTGTTCTGTAAAACCTCTGCAGATGGTCCAGAATGTGTGTCTGGTCTTCAATAAGCTGCTCTTTGGTCCTCTGCATCCTTTTCAACTTCCTGTTGCCATGACTACGCCTCATAGCAATTGTCGCAAAGTTACAAAATGAGAACAAAAAAAAAAAAAATCCTTCTGGCTGCACAGCATCCAAAACTAGAAAAAAAAACAACAAAAAACAAGCAGAAGTCTAGAAAAAGAACAAATCAGAAATAACAGAGCCACTCCAAAATGCTGCTACAATGAGAGGCGCAATTCTGGAGCCGTAAACAACTCTGGAAATGGATGTATATGCAGCTCAAGTCTCTCGGGGACAAAGTTATGACTGGTGGCGAGCAGGAAAAGAGATTTAATTTTATTATTATTATTATTAGAGCATCCCTGTGAGCTCATGTTTGATGTTCTTTAACACCTTCATTTCTCCTGACAGAGTCCTCCATCCACGAGGAGGAGCGTCAAATGCGTCTTCAGCTCCAGCAGCCAGACGGAGACCTCTTCCCCTGCGGATGTGACACAACTGATGCCAGCCAGACCTCGTCCAATGACACCCCGGCTCCAGAGAGAGCCGTGTGCCACCCCTGCAAGCCCCTGTCGAGTGATGAAGACGAGCTGGTGGCCGCGTTGGAGCAAGAGCTAGAGGAAGTACATCCAACTGAGGACGATTCTTCTGTCGAGGAAGTTGCAAGTGAAGAAAGGAGCCTGGAGGAGATTGCAGAGGAGCGTGAAGAGGCGACATCTGGTGCTCAAAGCAAGGAAAAGGAAGTAGCTGAAGAGGTCATTGTTGCAGAGGCAGAAGAGAAGACACCTGAGGAAGAGGAGCTGGAAGCACTAGGAGAATCGTCTCAAGTAGAGGAAGACGACGTGAGTCAGGACACTGCAGCTGATGCAGATGAAGGTGCAGAGGAGGATGAAATGGTGCCTGAACCAGAGGAAAGACCCCCAGATTTGACAGAAGACCCCAGACTGGAGTCACAGGAGCTACCGGAGGATCGAGTGAAAGAGCCGGAAGTGACAGAACAACCTGAAGCAGAAGCAGAGCAAGAAGTCACTTTAGAGCCGGAGCTGATTACCGAGCCTGACCCAGAACCAGAAATCACCCATCAGGCTAACCAGGAACCTTCTCTGGAAGGCACTGAGGACGATGCAGTGGAGGAAACTACAGAGGACACACCGGAGTCTGAACAGGGTTCTAACCAGGAGGTGAAACCAGAGGAGGTGCCTGCAGAGGAGCCAGCACAGCTTCAAGCTAACGGTACAAAAAGTTGTGGAAATGCACAATTAATGTTTTATTAACGTAGACCAGGGGTCCCCAGACTTTTTCCTGTGAGGGCCACATAACTTTTCCTTTCTATGGTGGGGGGCCGGAGTCAGTTTGTAACAGAAAAAGTGTGACATTTGCAGGAGTGCCTAAATGTAAAAATATATTGTTTTCTAGAAATCACAATCACATAACATTCTCTGGGTTCTTCACAGAAAAAAATCCAGTAAGGATTATAGTCTGTATTTTCCGAACTATGAGCCGCACCGGATTATAAACCACAACCCCAAAGTTTATTTATTTATTTTTTTAATAAACCAGTAAACATGCACATATAAGCCGCAGATAT